AAAGCTTTTCTAGTAGAACGTACTACTCAAGAAATCTTTCTCAACAATAATTTTATAGACAACCTTGTGAGGTCTTATACTTATAATATTTATAAAACTGGAACAAGTGATTATAGAACATATAAAACAGAAAATATAATTTCAAATACAATTGAAACTGCTCTTCCTACTAAAGATAATAATGATATTATTTTAATTTTTGATGAAAAGGAACTAAATTCACAAATGGATACACTCAATGATGATGACATACTTACAGATAAAAATACTACAAGACATAATAATTTCCCTTTATCTCTAATGCTTACTAATACACAACAACCTTTACCTAAAAATCATAACAAACTATCACTAAACAATCACAACAAATAGAATAATAAATAAACTTACGCATCAATTATATAACAACTAAAAAATAATCTTAACGCATCTGTAGATCATACTCACAATAATACTAATATTAACGTATTATCACACAATCCAATCAACAATAACAAATAAAATCAAAAGTTACACAAAGATGATCTCTGTTATAATATGAAAAACTCTTCACACGTGACTCAATCTAACAAAAAGGAAATATATTCACATCGCTATTAGCTTTTGCCATGCCAGGCGACATTAGAATAGACAAATTGAATTTCTTATCCTCCCTTTTTTCTCATAAACCTGGCTTTATTAATATAGACTGAAAATTCTATAATAGCAATGCCAATATCTTTATAGAATTTAACAATAGAAAATTATTATTAGATGCTATAGATAATGCTTTATTGATTCACCCAGAACTTCTCTTCAATTTAATCAATGATACTCCTTCTTTCAATCTTCATCACAACAATCCTATTTACAAACTCAAAGAAGTCTTTAGTAATATTATACAAAATCATATCAATAGAATTCTTTCCTATTTTAGATCAATTACTTCTATTGTGTACCAATATAGAAATCATTATTTTTCATCACGTGATGTTATCATCATGTTTGATAAAATTAGAAAACTACATCAATTAAATATGACTTGAGTACATAACATAAATGGACAAGTTATTAGATACGCACATATCGACACTTCACTAGAAGAATTAAAAGACAAAGATCATTACGTAGCAGATTTTAAAGGTTTCATGAACAAAACAATACTTTCTGATGCCTTTCATAGCTTAAGAGCCTTTAATGCTAGATCATGTTACTTTTACAATAATATCACCTATGCTGCTTTTTTATCTGAAAAAGATATGAATTCTGCCTGCTCGCAAAGAATTATACACAATGGATACAAATTAGACAAAAGACTCAGAGTTTTAATCATTCCTATACTCAAGCTGAATTAGTCTGTTCATCAAATACCAACCCTTCTAAGTCTTCTTTTAATAATTATCAAAAAAACAGACACTCTTCATTCAGCAGTAATTTAAAAAAAGGAAAAGACAAAAATGTTGATTATATACCTTCTACTATAATAAATATTAAAACTCCTATTGTTATACAAAAGAAGACATGGATGATGATGATCTAAAGGATGACATTGATCCCTAAGAAATCATATATGTCTTCTATATCATCTATGTTATCTATAGCATATATTTTTTATATACAATATATTTCTTTTATTTATTTTATTTTATTTATATCATTTATTTATTATATTATATTTATTTTATATATTTTATTTATTATATTTATTTCTTTTATATCTTCAATAACTTTATATTTTACATTTTATATAAATAGAGGACAATTTCTTTTAGCTTAGCGGTGTGTCTGACATATAGTTTTATATAATAGTTTAGTTTAATCTCTCTAACATAATTATATAGTACAGAACGTTGACTGAAGTAGTACTTCATTGTTATAGTTATTAAATAAACTGTTAATTTACTGACACTTTTCTAAATCTAAATATCAAATTAAACCTTCTACTTACTATCCATAAATATTGCTTCGCTTATCACTCATAAGCATTTTAAAGAACTGACTGTAATAATAGTATTTAACTTTAGAATAAGTGTCATTTTGTATGTAAGATGCATTTTCGTAAAAATTACAAGATTTGTTAATTAGTGATACGTGATATTCAAAACTGTCATAAGAAAGAGTCAAGTCAGATTGAAATATAGTTGTGTCAGTTCTAACCATTATATCATGAGCAGATACTGGCTTCTTTAACTTTATTTTTTGAATTTGACTAGATTGAAAACACACTATCACTATGAAATTATATAAAATTGTCAACAATGTATAAATGTATAATATATATTCAATTATCAATAAAATTTTAAAACAAATTAATAAAAATTGAAAATAATTCTATTTTACCTTTTGATCCTTCATTATTCTCTTCTAACGAATCTTTCATAATAAATTAATTCTTAAATAGATCCTATTTTATCCTTAATAAAGTTGCTATATAATATTACATTAACAACTTAACTCTAAATCATGATCCTAGATCAGTATCAAAAAAACAAAATTTATTTACTTCCTTATTTAGGATATTCTTTTAATTCACTAGAGCCTATTTTTAACTTTAATGTATCTAAATACAGTCAACTCTTGTTATAACGAACTCTATGTCCTAGACCTCAACTTCGCTATAAGGCTATAGTAAAGAGTTTAAGAGATTTGATTGGCTAATTCGCTATAACAAGAGTATTTTTATTATATTTGTTCAAAAATTTCGTTATATCAAGAGTTCGCTATATTAAGAGTTGACTGTACTTAGAATTTTAGTATAAATTAATAATATTCATGCTAGGCTATAAACATCAAGGATCAAGTTCACCATCTGCTAGATATTGAATAGCTTATATAATTATGTAATGTTTTAATAAATCTAATTTAATATTCTTTTGATTGGTATGTGAAATTATATTTTTAAAAATATAGTAAACTATCTCTTTTGTTCTAACTACAGTATTTGCAAGGGTTTCAAAGGTTCTTATATATCAAAGTAAATAGTAACAAGCGTAAAGATTAAAAAGATTTACAAAGTCTGAAAATAACTATATTCAACATAATTTAGTTAATAAATAACTTCTATAATATCAAATATTATAATGAATTTTATCTAAGTTAAGGCTTACCATTTTTGCTTCAGAATAGTTTTGAGTTCTTCACAGTCACTATTTATTAACAAAATCTTAAATGCTAATTAGGAGCATTTTGCTATAATCGATCAGCATCTGATAATCATATTAGCCACTTGATTGTGATGTAAGCTTATTTGTTCTTGTAGTTTAGCTAGTTCTATTAGCTTAAAGTAATCAATGATTAATGATCTATTTAATATAAATAGCATTACTATTATCAATTGAAGACAGTCTGACATCATAAAGCTTTTGATATAGCTAATGGGGTTTGGAAACTTCGACCATTGATGAGAATATTCAAATGACTTCCAAACACTAAGAAATTTCCATTCACCATTTAGCAATAATGTGGTAATAGTTAATTTAAATAATTTTAACGTTTTACCAGCAATTATATGATAAATGTCTTGTGGTGATTAGAGATGTCACTCATGTTGAAGCTGATCAAGTATTGGAAGAGATTTTTGCAGGCTGTATTCCTTTGCAATGTTTTTTATTATGTATGTATTAGGTTATGAATATGTCTTTGAATTGAGTATTTGTAATATGATGGTAACAAGAAATATTAGTAATATCTAAGTTATTGTCTGTTACATTTCTCTTTACAACTAAGCATATTCTACATCTTTTTATTGCACCATATCATTTTACTCCTGTTAAATCATTGCCTTATGGTAGATTTACAATAATACATCTAAGGCTAGTAATAATCTAACAATTTTCTTCTTGAATGTTCATTACTATTTCTTGTTTTAATTATTTCATGTCTGAGATAAATGGACAAATAAAATCATCAAAGTCTCTACCAAAAGGAACAAATTCTAATATAAAGTGATTATGAATATATTTTCTTATATTGAATAGCATATTTTCTAATTGAATATAAACCTTACCTAATGAATAATAAATGTTTCAATAGACACTGAAATTATCATAATAAATATCAATAAATATTTTTAAAACTCAAAGATTGCTATATTATGGTGATGGTAAATTTAGAGTAGAATATTCATATGGATGCATATAGTCTAGATTTATATCTCGTATTTTTCAATAACCATTATTTTTGTATAAAATTTTTTTAATATAAAGTCCATTAGTAATATTTAAATTAAGAATAATAGTAATATTAATTTTTTTAATGATTTCGTTTATATTTATGATAATACTACTCTTTTTCAAATATTGATCTACTAATCACAATTGTGATTCTTGTGTAGCAGAATGAGCATTACTGTAAAAGTTGTTTGATAATTCGTTATAAATATAATCTTGTTGTATTTTTATTCAGAGTTTACATCAACAGAAACTATAGATCATATTCATCTAAATCTTTGACTATTATCTTCTTTATATACAATGAATTTGCTTGGATAATAATATTTTATTTAAAAACATTAAAGATTATAATAATTATTAGCATATATATAATAATAAATAAACATATAATATTAATATCTCAGTTAATAGTTATCTTGTCTTGGCCAAATAATAATGACTCTGCCCAAAAATTTTTATACTAATAGTCTTTTTTGACTTCAGCTTTTATCTCTGTTTAAAGTATAATGTATTATATAGGGACAGGTTATTTAATACATTTCAAAAAATATCACGAATTGATAGATAATAATAAGATTTCATTTCTTTGGAAGTGGATGAAATTTTCTTTTAATTAATCTTAATAGAACGTGCCTTATTAGCATTTTTGATAACCTATGTTTCTATTGCTGAAATCTTCTTACATTTTTTACAATGTTATTTGCATTAAAAGCTGGATTTTGTAATATATCATCTATAAGATCATTATATGTATTCATTGCTATAAGAGATATACAGTAGATTGTTTAGTAGATCATTAAATGCATTCGTACAGTAAAAATTAAACTTACAAATATTGTGTTTTTGTATCTAGTAAAACAATAATATAGAAGTTGAATTTTCAAAGTAAGAAGCACTTTCATTTATATTTGACATCTGGTTGATATCTATTGTATCAACTATTGAATCTTCTTCATATATGTTATCATCATTATCACTTTCACAATTATCATTATTATTCTCTGCATAGTGATCTTCTTCTATTCCAATTATATCTTCCTCACTAATACCATTATTATTACCCTTTCTGAGATCTATATCGTCATCATCTTTTTTGAAGACTATATTATCATTATCTTCTCTGAGATCTATTTTATCATTATCTTCTCTAAAGTCATCATTATTATTATTACTTTCGTTCTCAATATTTCTGATACACTTTCCATTTCATCTTGCGATTTAATTTTATTTTCTTTATCAAGATGTTAAATAGAACTTATTACATGTACAAGTAACTGTAATATAACATATATTTTATTTACCTGGTTTAGATAATCCAAGTTATTTATACTTTTTAAGAATATTACAACTTGAAAAATTTGCACTTTGGCATAAAAAAAATGATTTAATCAATGAGATATGACTTTTATGCATTTTTGTATTATAAAGTTAAACTTCTTACAAAAAAAAAATCAAAGTTTATTTCAAAACATGTATACACAATATATTTATATAATCTCAATGTTTATTTAATATAAAAAAACATTTATTATATAATTTCTTAAAGTTTATTTAATATGTAAAGAAATTTACTATACAATTCCTTAAAGTTTATTTAGTTTATTCGATATACTATAAATATATTTATCTAATCTCTTAAAGTTTATTTAATATATAAAAATGCGTTATATAAATATAAAGTTTATTTTATACTTTGACCTGCATTGTTACTAAACTATTGTTAATCATATTATTAAAACAATAACTTTGATTTAATACAAATATGGTAAATCGATTATATAAATATAATACCATTTAGATTGATTTAGAATCAAAGTAAAAAATAAGTCTCTCTTTTTAAAATTTGTTTTAATACTACTTTAATATTAAATTAAAATGGTGAGAACAAAAAAACCAGTACAAATAGTTAAAGTTAAAAAAATTGAAAAAGCAAGCTAAAATAAAGCCAGAAGTGAGTATCATATGACGATTCTTAAAGTGAATCTATGAAAATTTGTGTAATAATCAATATAAAAAATCAATTAACGAGTTATAATAAGATTTATAATGTCTGTTATCTTATATTTATAATATTCTAATCAAAAAGGAGGTTATGGAAAAAGAGAAAGTCATGAAAGAGAAAAAGGCTGTAAAAGAGAAAGAGGATCTGTAGCAGACTATAATTTTCCTATGAGATTCAGATAAAATTAATCCCATCAGTATATTTAATTATAAATCTAAACGAATCTAATGACGAATTGCGAACAGGAAAATTAGCGATTTTTATACATCCTAATGGTCTCTTGACACATTTTTGCTTACGTATATGCAAGACCTGAAAAGCCTTGCTTCAAATTCTTAATATGACGATATGTTGAAGATGAATGGAACAATTTAGCCAATATGGATTTTATTAGTGAATGGAGGGTCAGATGAGAATCCTAGACATTTAAAAAATATAAAATCCTATTGTTAGCTTTTCAAGAAGTTCAATTTGGATTTCTTAAGTATAAGAATATATGCCCCAGGTCAATTAAAGTATAATCTGATTGAAAGTGGTATAGTAACATTGTCTAGTAAGCTTGCTGGAATCATTTTGCCAATTAATCATTTTGGTACGTATTTGAATACACAAGAAAAAGTTATTGATCTGAAATTAACTACTATAAATTTTTACTATTCAGGAGAAACCCTTTGTGAAATTTGACTTCATGATTTAATTTTTGGAAAGAAGATTGATGCTTATTATATTGATATACTTACGAATCTATTTGAGCACATACAGTTTGAAAGAACAGAAAGAAAAAAGGTTGAAGAATTAAAAGGAGAGAAAAAGAACAAAAAAAATCAAATGATATAGAAAAAGAAACAACACATATCTGTTCTGAATGTTTTGTTTCATGATCTTAGATCAAAACCCACTGTAATTTGTACACCTATTCTCTTAATATCAAACAATGCACAAATGCTAATTGCTGTAGACCACTCAAAGCCAAAGAAGCCATGGACTTTCTTCACCTGTATAATAGCTTCTTACTACTAATTACTAAAGCTAAAGATGGCTGATTTACAAACCTGATTCATCTTCTTCAGTATGGAGATCTCCTGAAAGTACTAGGTTATGATGCACATTATGTGTCTATTGAAAAAATACATACTTACGACTTTGCTATCCTATTTATCAAAAATATTTTCTGATTCTTACATTCTTAACGAATCATAAATAATTAATGCATTCTACTACCTGAGGACAGCTTAAAAGATAACAAAATTCAGCTTTTGGCGATTTTTCTCTTCTTCCATTTCAACAAAAAAGATCGTATGATGAAATAAAACTTGAATTAAGGACTTATAACTCAGATGGAGAATAAGTAAGTTTTATAAAAGGCGCATTTAAACATATGTGCATTGCAATAAATTTAAATGTATGCATGTTGCTATATTGCTACATTAGTCCATAATAAATATATGCTTAACAAACCACTTTATCAAATAATCATCATGTGATCAATATTAACATCATGTGATTATTATATTATGTATAATCTAAGATCTGCTTTATCTCCCTACTCTTTAAGATATTAGGTAATATCTAACAGTGTCTTAACTAAAAATATATTAAAATATACAATACATTAAGTTTTAATTTATTTAATAATAAAAGAAAAAAGCTTTTAAAACTATCATTTAGATACAAATTTATAAATAATTTAGCTTCTAACCATTAGGTTTTAAAATTAGATCTAGTACTGAATTTAATAATATTTTAATTCTAAAATTTACCTAATCTGTAAATCTGTTTAATAGAACCTATAGGTCTCAAAAAAACTAGAGCAGAACTAATCTAATTATCCCTAGATACAAATAATAAAAATATTAACAATTAAATCTGCTTTATAATACTTATTTCAAGTTAATTAATATATATTAATATTATATCTTCTGATATATTTAATAAAATTTATTTAAATTTTCTCTAAATAATAATTTTTTATTAATATTATAATCAAAAATTTTTGTTAAATTCTTTTAAAAATTAATTTAATAATAAGATTTATATTAAATATTTTTTTATTGAAAATTTAACCACTATCTCATTGCTTTGCAATAAAGTAGATCATATAACATTACATAAATTTCTATAAAGAAAATTTGTATAACTAACTTTGAAAATCAAACTCAAATTTTACTGGAAAACAATATTTCTTTTTTTAGAATATTGTGTAATGTTATACAATTTAATCAGTTTATTTATATAGGTAGTCTAAATGTTATTATTATACATATATAAATTAATAGTCTAAACATTACTATTATACACAAAAACAATTATTATTATAGATTTTATTTAAAATTAAAAAAGTAAGAAATTTTAAATCATTAATCTTTATATATGAAGATGTGATTAACTAAAGTCAGAATTTAAACTGATTATATAATTTAAGATTTTATAATAGTCATATATTTACAGATCTAATCTTTTAATAAATAAAAATTTTGATTTATAATATCACTTTTTTTATTATTTATCACTTTAAAAACTTTTGTATTTTTTATTTATTATTTATTCATTTAAAAATAATAGAAAAAAAATTAATGTCTTTAATTTTATATTTATAAAATTTTATTTTATATTATAAAGATCATTTTTGAAAAATTTTTTCAAATGATCATTAAAATTTGATTAGTTAATTTAAACCTTAATTTTTTAAAATCACATAATCAATTAAGTTCTAAATTAATTCTTATATAAAGAAATAAAATTTGTCTTTATAAATTATTAGTTATTATAATTATTATTTTTAATATAAATCTATTAAAAATTTAATTAAAAAATAAATTTTGAATTGCTTTTTATTTAGAAAACCATTTAACTTTATATTTATTTTATTTTAAAATCAAATATTTTAATATTTCTTGATATTTATATAAAATATCTAATCTTTTACTAAAATTAAAAAAAAATTATAAACTAATTTTATAATATAGTTTATATAATTACAAAAATTTACTTTTTTTTTAATTAAATTATTAGCTAAAGCTAGTCTATTTACAATCAATATATTATAAATAAATATTTTTTACTATTTTTGATTTTTAATACTACTTTTTTTATTATTTTAATATAATATTTACTTTATCTAAAGCAAATAATATAAATTTATTTATTAAATCTTTAAAATAAATTATATTAATTATATATTTTAAATAAAAAATAATAATATAATATATTAATTTAATCCCTTTATCAAATAAATTAATAATTATTTTAAAAATAATCTTTAATTTTTATTTTTTAATTAAAATAATTTTAAAAAATGAACTTTAATCTTTTTATACTAATAATAATAAATATAAATAATAAAATAAATTTCACAAAAAATATTTATACTTTCATCAATCATTATGCTAAATAAATAATTTCTTTAAATTGTTTTCTTTATTAAATTAAAAATAATAAATAATATTTTACATTTAGATACATTATTTTTATAAGTTCTTTATCATCTAAAATATTATTTTCATTAAAATATCAACATGATTTTAAATCTTATTTATAGACTTATTTTAAATTTTACTTTTACTATTTTAAGATTTATTACATCAATATGATTTTTTATTAAAATATATTCTGATAAAATAAAAATTTTAAATATAAGATAAATAATTTTTTTATTAATAAAATAATTAATTAAATAAAATAAAAAAATTATTATTTCACTTTCATATTTATTTAATTTTTTATAATTTTGACATATTAAGCAAAATATTAGTTTCTTTAATCTATTATATATTAACTACTTATAAATTTTAACTATTCTTTTTGAAAACCTTTAGTTTTTTTAATATAAGATGTATTCTTTCCTTTTTAAAATCAATTTTTTATATTTTTTTATTAATATTTAATAATTTAAAATAAATTATTTTAAACC